CGAGAAACAGACATGCTTAATGGTCTGGATTACAAGAAGCGACTGTAATTACTAGGTTCCTGATCTTCAAAATAATCTAGGCATAAAGACTTCTACTGACGCGGCGAATAATTTTCGTAATATAAATATTTTGGTAAGATTTATATTCTTCTTTAGCACGTTGTTGTAAATCTCTCGTAAACCGGTATCGGGATGTGTGTTATTTCAAGACAGAAGTGGCTTGTAGGCTGTTATCAGTATAATAATTGTTTTCGTTACAGATTGTGCAATCCGATCTTCTTCTTCTAGCATCTCTAAGAGCTTTGCGAAATTCGTCGAAGTTGATTCAATGCGCCGAATTCAATGTGCAAATTCAAAGCCCAGGTTTTCTGAACGACCGAACTTTGCTTTCGTATGTCAGACTAATTACAATTTCGCGAAGTAAGGATGAAGTAAGGATAAGTAATTACGGATGTTTGATTAAACGGCGCTGAGTTCTTCAGAATCTTTAGCATATTGGAAATGCCCACTTACTGCAAATGAATTGAATATAGTATAAAACCTGTGAATTTAGCGAAGTTGAAGATCTGCTTGAAATGAGCCAGATTTTTGCTGCAGCAAAGCACAGAGCTCAATATAAATCTGATTAACCGGTTCAACGGTCTAACATTAACAATATAAAAAAAAATATACTATTTAAACTCTGTCAGCTTTACTGACGACAGCAGCAACTAATTCATGTGGTTAGGATCGAGTAAAAATGAGACGGACAGGTCATTTGCTTCATTCAGCATTGTCCGTGCGCTACACAGTAGGCGACCTCTTGGCTATCTACTGAGGTTCAAAAAATGAACAAACATGCCAGTTGTATATGAAATGAACCAGCAGCGTTTCAAGATAGCAAATGAATTTACTTGCTAATTATGGTGGCGAAAGTGACACGCCTTGTTCATAATGCTATGCGTTTTGATAAATGATCAGGCCTTTCTGTGCTAAGGTACATAAGTGGGTTTATATTGAACATTATGTACTGTAGAGTGGAGAGGATCACCTACCATTTTGAACTAACCAACAGGGTCTCCTAAATGATGCCTGAACTTAGCGCAATACGCTTTAAATGATCAACGTTTCTTGTATTGATTTTCACAAATGATTAGTTCATTTAGAAAATTTATTCAGAAATACTGAACAGTAACACAAAATAAGCAATTCGGTTCGAGTCTTAGGGGCAGAAGTCGACGTGGCATGATTTCACTTTGATTCGTTGACTGGATCATGTTTAGAAGGAATCTTCAATGTGTTTCTTGTGCGGCTTGTGCATGATCTTTTTTCTTTCGATCTGCTTGTGATATGACTAAGCTGAAACTAATAAACTTTTGCCTTGTCATTAGGGATTTTAAGCTCCTAGCTCTCTTCTCGGCACAGCTTTAAAGGGCAATGATAAGTTATTAGCGATAGACCGATATACCGCTACTTACGGATGGATGTTGTTCAACTATAAGCGATATACATCGAATCAAACAGTGATAACATCTTTTCTGAATTTTAGCATGAGTATGATATGCAAAAACGTTAACTTGATGTAAATAAGGTTAAATTAATTCATATTCATTTTTTAATATCACGTGTTAAGTAGTTCGACAGTATAATCACAAGAAACGTGTTTGATTATTTGGATGACTCTTGCAGTGTTCATACATCCTTCAGCTTCAGACTACCCTGTATATTATTGCAACGAATGGACAGTAATCCTATTGATTCTATCTGTTCATTTAAGTGCTCACTTTCAGCCTCACTTTCATGTCTCATTTAAGTGCAAATTTGTCTCAATGTATTATGACTTGGTGACGGTATTTGCTGCAAGCAGTTCAAAGTCAAATCTGTGGAGCCCTTCGATGAAAGAAAGTAACGACTACGTAGACTGGATAACGAGGCAAAAGAAACCGTCCGTATTAGTCCAATTCCAAATAATCTAATTTGTCGGCTAATATGACCACGACGAGTTGCTTTGCATGCATAGATGCAGAACAAAAGAGTGATGTACGAGAGTGTGGGTAGGGCATCGCAATAAGATTTCATAAAATTGCATGCTACAGTTTCTATGAGATATGCATTTTTGGAAAATGGATGACTGCCCTCCGCCACAATTTAAGGAATACATAACGACAACAACAAACAGTGCGGATCATGCATTGTCTGTAGGATTTTATCAGCCATATCTGGATTGGTTTCTGGTTTACGGTAACTGATACCGGGCATTAAACGCTCGTGTTTTTGATCTAACAGTGTCGCTACGTCAGAAGTAATTGCGGTTTCGACCGGCAAGTGACGTATCCATCTTTTCCGCCAGGTCCAGATCCACAGTCAAAACCGCCATTTTGACTGCATTTTCTGAGTCAAGTTAGGGAAGTATGCGAGCAATCCAAACTGTATCAGCCGTCAGATTCATGTCTTCATGAAGAATCTCATAACTTTTGACTGTGCACTGACTTGCTTCGGCCGCTAAGGGAGGGAGCGAGCTCCGCGCATTTTCTATGTTACGTTTGCAACGTGCTTGTCCCCCATAGGCAGTCCTCTTGGCTAGTCTGAGACAATGATTTCTAATTTCTTGCCGCTGATAAAAGTTGGATATTGACCTAAACTTGAAATTATTTGGTTCTCGCAGCGAACATGAGCTACGTATGGATTCGGCTTAAGACCGGCAGTGTTGGTTCATGTTCAGACCTTTCGAATGTTTTCAGGCAACTGTGACACATCTTCATAGTTCAAGACAACGCAGTTAAGGCTTTGTCATGACTATATGCGAGGCAGTTAGTTTCATTCTTACTTCTACATTTGCTAGTGTTATTAATTTGCGCAATAAGCACGGCAATTGGTTTTCACCGTGTGCCCTTCAAACGAGGATGATAAAGATTATTGAGCACCATGGATAAAACGGCATGCTTCATGATAGTTCGTACATGGGAATGGAAAGAAAACAGCGCATCTAACGCCACTTCCAAAGTTATACTCGAAAATCCCGTGCTGATACTTGGAGAGGGCTTGCACATTCATAAGGTTATCGCACTGAACGGGGAATGACACTTATTACTGTCGTTTTCAGCTGGTCAACAGGTTGCCATTTTAACACCCACTGCAGCCAGTTCAAAAGAAATTTTACTGGCGGGGTGCAGAATCATTCTGATCTGCTTTATCTTGAATACGCGTAGAGTAAATTATCATCGTTGGTACATGTGTCATCTAGCGCTTCTTCTCTATACTGTTTCCTTATCGAATTGTTGTTATGATTCAAGTTTTGATTCTTGTCGCCAACACGTATCATAGTTTGTACTTTGTAACACATTTGGTTTTGCCTGGCAGCCTCGTACATGCATTGCATTTTCGAACGTTTTTCTTCTGCATGACCTTTACGTAAATTAGTTTCAGTAGATGTGCAAAGTTGATTTTGCTTCAGCCAGGTTATCAGAGGGTCAGTATCTTCGCTGTAATCTCAATTGCTAGCTATTCGAGTAACGCAGCTGTCACTCCTGATGAATTTGAGGTGCCGCTAGCAGACAAAATGATGCGAGATGCATCTGGCGCTGCAGATGTTAAAATGGAGTCATGGCCTGTTTAAATGACCCACTTAGGCAACTAGGAGCGAGATGACGGTGCAGAACGCCGTGAAATCTGGTCTTGCAAGAGTTATGGCTTGAGTTGCAGCACTCTGAGTCTAAATAGGGAAGACACAAGGCCGTTAGAAAGTGTACATCAGTTGCTCCAATAGCAGGCAGTAATAGTCTAATAAATGTCTGCTTCACAGAAATGTTACCTGAATTAGAATCTTTTTTCTCTCCTTTCCATGGCTATCTTTAGATGGAATGAGGAAGAACATCATTGGAAAGTAGCGTCACTCTCGTAGACACTGTTTCGCTGACCTTTCGTATCCTCACCTCCTCTCCAAATGTGTGAACTTGTGTTGTTATAAATCTTCTGCTAAAGTTAAATAAAATATAGTTTAACCGAACTTTTGGTTTTTACACGTACTTCTCCTTTCAGAGAGAACCATTTTTCAGTGCAATTTTGGATGCCTTGTAAAAGGTAGAATTAATTTTAGCGCCAGAACAGTTCGAAAGCAAAGGTAAGTGTCAGCTGAATTGGCTAATTAATTTTATTAAATAAAATCAGTTGAATGGTTAAGGAAATTGAATGAGGTAGAAGATCAGCCATTCCGTTTGCAGATGAGATGTTGAGACTTTTGGTCGGACTTGCTATACGATAATGTAATCTTTACTAAATACGACATCCTATATA